CTCCATTTATAACAACCCTCCACTTTCTTCCATCAAGCCAGTTTTCTATCCAATGAGCCAAATTATCCCCCATACTTATAGAGGTACCTTTTTTAACAAGCATTTTATGTGGCACCTTGTCAAATGCTTTCTGAAAATCAAGGTATATCAAATCAACACCCATACCCTCATCCAGATAAGCAGTAACCTCTTCAAAGAATTTCAAAAGTTTAGTTAAGCAAGATTTTCCCTTAGTGAAACCACATTAACTATCCAACAAAAGTTTAAATATTGTTAAATGACTTTGCAAAGTATCTTTAATAAGACTCAAAACCTTTTCCCTTTAATTAATAGGATAATTTTTGTCACCTTCCTTGAAAAGAAGAGCAATTGGCCAAATTATAACCTCTTCAAGGACTTAGAAATAATAGTAGCAAGTGGCACACATATCCAGTCTTCAATCTTTTTTAAAGCTCTTGGGTGAATATTTTCTGGCCCAGGAGTTTTATCATTCTTTAAACTTCCATTTTTTATCTTAACAAGCTTAGAATTAATGTGATCTTATTGTTCAGTCTTGTTTCAATCTAGAAACTGTTCAGGATGAGGAATATTGCTTAAATTTGCATTTGTTAAAACTGAAGAAAAAGTAAATTTCATAACCCAGCCATCCCACAATCATCAAATATTAATCTTTCTGTATCATTCCTCAAAGGCCTTACTCCCATCCCAACATTTTGCTTACCCTTAATGTATTTAAAGAAATGCTTACTATATATTTTTCCATTTTGCACACAACCTTTTCTCATATACTGTTTTTGATTTCCTAATTTTCTGCTTGACCGTCTATCTCACTTGATCTTCTATAATACTCCAAATCTCCAATTATTGTAATCAATTCAAACTTCTTATAATGTCTCATTGTAGAGTTTCTCATTAGTTGCCTAAGTTTCTTCTGGTCTGTAACAACTTCAAACTAAAAGCTTTATTTTCTTATAATCACTAACAGAAACTGAAATAGATTCAACCTCATTGGAAAATAGGATAGTAAATCAGATCTTCCTACTTCATTTTTAAATATCTCAAGTGAGCCTTTAATTTCTGTGTTAAACTTAGGCTTAAACTTTGCTGTCAAACATAGAACTCTACCTATGGAACAAATTCTTGCTACCACAGAATCCAACATTAATTCTTTAAATTTGAATCCCAATGAAGCAGAAAAATCATAAGTAATATAAATTCTAGACTATCAACATATAAGGAAATAAAATTAAAACTTAACCTTTACAACAGTGAAATCAGTGTTAAAAATTAAAGATCTAACAATAGGATATATATACATATACAATGTGAGCTGACAAAAATAATTGTACTGAAGTTGTAGATAAAATACATTACAAAGCAGGGGTAACACTTTACCAAGTGACAGATCTTATACCTTACTCAAAGGTGATCCTACCAACAAAGGTCTTTCAAAAATTTAAAGACTTGTCAAAGGTTGCCCTATTCTAACTATTAACAAAGAAAGTTCTCTTACCCCACACACTATCATCTCTCCAATTTTATGATCTTTCTAAAATTCATAAAATTGACATTTTTTTCAGACCCATAGTTTCCAGCACAGGGTCACTGGTACAAAAGGTAAAGTTCTTGTCAAAGGATTTAAATCTCCACTCAAAAATAATCCCTT